GTTGCTCGCTGGTACCACCGTTCCCTTAAAAATACCGCTGTCCGTCGTCGTCATCGACCGTCAACGGCAGTTGGCTGCTGCAAGCGATCGAGAGAACAGTGTGCGTCGGTATCGTTACAAATTTCATGTACAGTAAAACAAGCCTTACACTGTACCGTATTGTTGTGATGTGTAAGTAACGTACGAACGTAATGAATGATATATAGTGTGCCTTGCTATATACATCGATGAATAAAGGCGGATCTGTCAGTACAACCTCAGAGATACAGTTGATAAAAGGCTACTGAGAGTAACGGCAATCGCTGGTTCACACGGAAGCTGATGCTTTCATTTAATCCTTACCGATGATCCTTCCACAGCCCTGAAACTCAGCCGTTTCACAATGGGTGTAATCTGCTGGTTTGGTATCTACGTTAAGCGATTGTTCAATATAAGCTGAACTAACAGCTTCGCGCTGAAATGCAGCTTATCAAATTAAATAAAAATAAACTGATTGCTTCTATATTATGGGAAATATCACGTAAAATAAAACAGACACTTATCAGTCATATTACAAATTGGTATTACAAGATAGACGGGTCGTGGCAAAAGATCTTGGCGCAATATTATACACGAGGGATATGTTTAAGATTGGAACAAACGAACATATGACCGCCTAGGAAAGCAACTGGGACGTCCTTTCATCCTTGGTAGAACTCTGAAAAAAATGTTTGTGTATCCAATTGCATTCCCTCATGTTAAAGAATGGTTCTAAATGTCAGTAACGTCGAATTATCATTTTCTAGACAGTTTCTTCCTCTCACTAAGTTGCGTCCTAGCTTGGAAACACTTGTTCTAACCTAAAGTCTTAAAATTGCCTGCCATATTGTTCACGGCCGAAGAAACAGTAGTTTCATGTTCATTTGCCTTTCCTCTGCAGTGGACACACCAATTGACCTCATTCTATTTTATGAAGTAATCAATGGATGGAGGTTTATCAAAAAGCATTACTTACCAACAAGCCTCGAAAGAGGCAATTTCAGTATTTTAACTCAATGAAATACCATTGTTTGGCATTGCTCGCTCCCTAGATATATAACGGCGCCTCTGGTAAAAAAGTTCACCCTAAAGCATGACCATGAAACGTAACACAATAGCGTTGATCAAGACTCGAGATGCTGTTTGTGTTGGAGATGTTTATGTAGTGAAATATTTCGACTAACAAGTGTCAATTTCTCAGATTCAGAAGTCCGCACTGAAGAGTGTAAAGCATATGGAATATGAACAAGAATCACATTTTGAAGCGTAGGCTTCCAGGCACCTTTCTGACTGCCACAGATGAGTCCTTCGTTCAGACATGGAATCAAAGTACGACCAATCTGGAACTCGCATTCAGCTCTGAAACTCTACCCGCCAAGAATAATTACTTGTCAACAGTGCACGGTTACGGGCCGGTAAAAATGTTTTGTTTCAACGGACCCTTTTAACTCCTTAAACGTACACTTTATCCGCATAAAACTGTAGCACATAAATACCGTGGTATATCAAGGTATGCATCAATGGATGAAAATCATAATCATCACTGTCATCATCGTCGACAACAGAAGTACTCAGTTGTGATCCACAGCCAAACGAGGCCTCCTCACCAAGATTTTGCAACATATTCTGTCTTTAGAGATTCTTATTCACTTCGTAGCAAGAAATTTGTTCTACTTTTCCTCCTAGTAACGTATAGGTTTACTCACCGACCGTTTACCATCATCTGAAACCCTTTGAATTCCGATCAACAAATCGTTGATCCGCTAGATGTCGCAAAGTAGGATGAGCGACGTTAATATTAAAAATTAAGAGAATACAAATAGGCGAAGGAAGTAATGGAAGGAAATGAAGCAAAGAGTTTGTGCAGAAACAAGACGAAGATTGTTGACCAATTCTGGTAGGTGATTTTGTTACCGACTCCATGTGCACCACTGGCATGCCACATACCGATTCGTAAATTAATTAGTCGATGATTGCATTGCACCGATTTGAGGTCTTTGACTTAGATATTCGAAGAGAGAAAATCTGTCATGCGTTGATGATCATACTGAACACCGAAAAACGTTTATAAACGGTTTATTTATAAACAATGCAAACAAATAAATCAGATGATTGACCGGTACCGACACTGCAGTTTTTCCCTCAGAAGTCGTTTGCAGGGTGGTTCGGGCGGTCTTACCTCTGCAATTGGTTCCAACGTCCGCGGCCTTTGTGACATCTGGAGCCAATGGTTTGCTTTTGGTCAATGCCCCTGGTTAAGCAGTTTCTCGGTTACGGGCTTAATATGGCTTGCCCAATCCGTACAGATTTCCTGTCCTTTGTCCCAATTAATATTTTTACAGCATGGGTAATAAGCTTTCATGATTCGTCTCATCAGTCATTTTCTTTCTTTGACGATACTTGCGCAATCCCACCATTGGGGGGGGGG